ACCTTTCATATATTTCTACAGAATTGAATAGCGAACGAAAGACCAGGAGATTGGATCTAGAAAGCACTTCCAGCAGGGTTGACGGCTGTGTTGTGTGGCCCTCATTCAGCTGGAAGTAGGAAATCAATCCCGGCACGACCGATGACTTAGTCTCCTTCTACGCTTCGACTCAACCACCTACCTAACTTCTTAGAAAAGATCCGATAGATAGCAGCTACCTAAGGCGCTTAGGCGCCCTTCACCAATCACGGTCTTTCATCTAGTAAGTCCTAGTACTATGTTCTCCAAGCTTGACTATAATAGAATAGGCAGGCCTTTTAGAGAACAGTAGAATGTTGGGTTAGCTCTGCCTTGTTGTGATAGGGGGCTGAGGGGTGACCGATCCGGTCAGTCAAAAAATAGGTTAACAAAAAAAGGTGTGTCTGGTCTGGTGTAGCTAATGTGACTTTCTCGATCTATAGTTCCTCTTTCTTTCTCTCTCCTATTGACATAGCAAAGTATGGTTCTATTGAGCGTGATACCCGCCCTCTACAAAGTGGTTTTTGAAAAGGTCTTTAAACGACTCTTCGTCTCAAGTTCCAAAACGTTTAATGAATGGCTGCCTACCACCCATGAAAAGAAAGACTACATAGGGCCCTCTCAGCCCGCCCTGGTTCAAATACTATTCTTTTTCACTTTATCCTACCCCGCTCACTGCCCTTCAGGCTTAAAAGCCTTTTCGTTGTCACCACTTACCGTTATCTATATGGCGATATTTCTAGCTTTCATTAAGGCTTCGAAGCCCCTATACACAAACTAGACTATAGAGGTTGCCACCTTGAAAGGCGTATCGAAGGTAATATCGGTTGTATCTGAATGCCAATCTCGATATCAAAAAACTCCAAAGTCGTTTTCCTCTTCTTTTTTTGTGTTTGATAGAAATACCTAGCAAACATCTAAAAAGTAGGTTTTTCGCAAGAAAACCGGGTTTAGAAAGGGTTTATCAAGTCCATTCCATTGGGAGACATCAAAGACGTGAACTTATCGAAGCACATATTCCACCTTTCCTATCTAAAATTAGCTTTCTCTGGTGCAAACTCACGGATTCTCTTTCCTATTAGTACAGTTGTTATAAAATCTTTAAAGAAGTATGCCACCTTCAGGACGATAAAGGTTGCATCTTCAAGTCCTCGTGCCGAAAGTACGAGATTCACTTGAGTGTTCCATAGGGGAAAAAGGCCGAAAAGGAAGAAGGGGCCTAGCTTGCTTTAGGTCTTTCCCTTCCCCCGATGTGGAATAGTTTTTCCCGAGTCCGGTCCTATAAGAATAGTTCTGACGACATCATCTCATGGTACATCATAATCAGGCCTAGCCTAAAAGACCCGCTTTCCAATAAGAACTTCCTTTTAGATCCTTGGTTGGCTCCTAGAGACATTGGGAAAGTCCCTCACGGACCTACGCTAATATATCGATTTTTGAGCTCGTGATGGGATCTTGGGAATGTAATCCCAAACCAAGCACAACAAAAGCATTCTTGTTGCTTGCAACGTAAATAATCATTATTTCTCCTTTTCTTTGTCGGGAGGTCAATCCGTTCCGTGGATTTGATCAAGCTAGCAAGCCAGGAAACTGGACAATGAAGGACACAGGAAACACAGCTTTGGTTCTGGGGTTGGAGATGAAGTCAAATTCGAGTTGGATCAGCTTTGATAGAGATTTTGCACTCTAAGAAAGGCGATTTTAATTAATCAAAGGGACAACTGATCACCGCATCTATATTGTAGCAAACTATTTAGTGGTAGGTTAATGTGAAGGTTGAGTACGTGTTAATAAGAAGATTCACACAGTTGCACGGGTCAAAGTTTAGATTGCGAATAGATCCTGAGACCAATATCTCAATCAAATGTGAAATCACTGCCACCGCCATTAAGACTTTAAGTATAAGCTAGTGCATGCATATACACACACAAAAAAATAAAAATAAAAATCAATATATAACTATGAGAAGACAAGACGCAAGATGTTTCCCACAATGAACTTATACCTAACTAAGAAACAGAGAACTTTTTTTCTGAAGTACTGATTCACACCTATGTACGAGAAATAAATGTTTACTGCAATCAGACACAACATCACATCTCAACAACGAACTATGTTAAAATTAGAGAGCTTGTGAATGCCTAAACCAGTCATGCTATAGAATTACCAGATAACTTGTCCACAAGAAATCACAAATTTATATGAGAAGTTTTCATTTGCCTTCCAAAACAAGATAGAATTTATAAAAGCATTCCAGTCATCTTCGTTGTTATTGACTTGGTGTAGAACCCCAAAAGTACCAACTGATTTATTAAGCAAGTATTGCAAATAATGTCACAACGTACTCTAAAGTAAAATCTTAGACTACTTCCCAAACCCATCAATATAATGGATATCTAATCCATTTGGCCTACAATTTTAGTTTTTGGGAATCATTCCAAGAGGTGGTTAGTAATAGAAAACGTTCCAATCAACACCCTCAAGTCAAAAGGCAACCAAAAATGATGGAACAGGTTAGATGCTTTAAACAGGATTGCATGTTAGCATTCATGTCCTACCAAGGAAATCCTAGAGTGAAAAATTTACTATTGTGAGTTGTGATTCTTTCTGTAGGGAACTTGTGGAAGAAAATGGAAAAAAAACACTATAGCTTGTAATCTTTCCATGTATTCCTGAGTTTGAAAATCATTTAGAAATAGTAAACATCCTATTACACTGTGAAAACATTCCAATCAACACCCTCAAGTCAAAAGGCGACAAAAAAATGATGGAACAGGTTAGATGCTTTAAACAGGATTGCATGTTAGCATTTAAGTCCTACCAACGAAATCCTAGAGTGAAAAATTTACTATTGTGAGGTGTGTTTCTTTCTGTAGGAAACTTGTGGAAGAAAATGGAAAAAAAACATTATAGTCTGTAATCTTTCCATGTATTTCTCAGTTTGAAAATCATTTAGAAATAGTAAACATTCTATTACACTGTTTCCCACAAGATGCTTTATACACTTGAGGCACAATTTCACATAATAAATAATATGTTCTAAACCAGCATTTCTAACACAATTTCCAGCTAGCCCATTGCTCATTTTGCTTCAACTTTCCTGTCAATTACCCCCAGTAGCAACATACGTATTTATTAGCTGCTCTCTCACGCTTGTGCTAGTTGAAAAAAAATTTAGAAAAATGCTCGGCAGCCAAACGGAAAATCTAATGCAGGACTCCAGAAACTTGAAGTCAACAACAAAAGTGAAGAAAAATTAAAAAAACATTAGTAGTCTTAAGCCTACTGTAGAAAATTGTGGAAAATTGAGGCCAGGAACTTCCTTTTTCATAATTGTTTGGTGGCATAAAATGGTTACTCCACTTTAATCAAGTTATCCCTGTATCTCAATACATAATATTTTTCCTTCCACGTTCTTCTACATTAGCATTTAAACACTTTCTTTCCATACCTCCTAATTTTAACCCCCAAATGCGCCCGTTATTATAATGATGGGAATAGTTTTTTTTTTTTTAGAATGCCTGGTTAAAAAAGATGAATTTTTTTTGGATTTACCTGAAGATCCGTGGTTGATAAAAAGAGACAGAAAAATGAATTATAATTCAAAGGAGCGGCTTAATTTTGCAACCAAAAATTATATAAAATCAGCATTTTCATAGAACTGAACTCAATTCGTAAAAAGACTTCAATCTTATATTTTAACAAAAAATAATACAATAAATGTAGACAAAATTGGAAAGAATGTAAACTTTTCTCGTCTACCAGAAAGGCAATTACATACTATAAAAAATAAAAAGGGGAAGGTGAAGAAGAAGATGAAGATGAAGAAGAAGAAGTGAAAATACAAAAACTGACCTTGGAGGGGTCGACTTTGGGAAAGCTTTTGACGACGTCGAGCACTCGGCCGATGACTTCTTGCTTATCGAGGTGAACATCGCCGTACGATGACATTGATCGGACGGCGATCAGCTTGGATTCGTTCAGGGTTAGGGTCGTAGATATCGGGACCCGTGTGTGGCGTAGTATACTCGATCTAAGCACTGACGCCATTTCACAACGTTGAGGGCTCAGACTCTCGGTGGCCTCTCCCCTTCCTATATGTGAAAAGGGTGTATACAACGGCAGGGCGTTCACTAGTCGATACCGGAATTAGACTGAGGGATTTATTGATGGAATAATGCTCTCTGTGGTGTTAAAACTCTTGTTCCTACACGGCTAGATCCATGTCAAACACAAGTAGTAAGGTTTACTCTATTTTTTCTTTGTTGACATAGACAACTCGCCGGCGGAGCCCTGACCAAAGGGGCGAAGATCTGACCATTGTGAATGCTCACTAGGTAAACCCCACTTTGTGCAGTAGTCCGCAAATTACATATGAGAGGTAAACCGCATTAGGTAAGCCCAATGCGACGGGCTCGATCGAGGAAGTGTTGGCAGGGGATTCAAACTCGTGACATTTGGTCTCCGCGTTCACATGCTCCACCAACTTGACGACCCTCAGGTATAGGTTTACTTTTTATTTTATACTTTACATTTGGTGGATGGATTAATTCTTTCAATAATAATCACTTAATTTATACTATGATTACGGGTTACTCACTAAAATTTAAAGTGTTTAACAATGTCCCTGAACTTAGTCCGTTTATACTCTATTCATCACCTTCAAAAGTTCGTTATCTTATACGCTGACGTGACTAACGAAAATTTCACGTGTCAAGTGAAATTTCACATTTTGAAATCCATAGCTTTTGTACGTAGTAAACTGTAAAAAGTAATTACATCTTTCTCACGTGAATGACCTAACCTTTTAAAGACATTCTTGAGATGGTGCTGATATTGCCATACCTGGATTCATTTGATGTACATCGTGTACCATATATGAAGTCAATAAGAACTACTCATAAATCATACAGCTTAGGATTTGGTTAACATTCAGCCTTCGAGATATCAACAAACTTTAAGGAAGTGCGATGGATGCACATTAGTTGGCTGCAACCACTAAAGCGACAGGCTGCTTGATAGTGAAACGGAGAGAATAGATTAGTCCTTGGTGGGGTAGATGCTGTGTGGGTTTGAGAAATGACTGATGTGCACCGGGGCAGACATTGGATAAATTTAGATATTGAAAGTGAAATTCTTTTAAAAACATTTGCGTGTTTGATTGCGTTCGGCGAGCTCTTATTCAAGTTAAAATGACATACGAGCTTGTTACCGGAGCTGTCATTTGTTGGAGAGAGAGTGGTTCTCTACTGTTATGATTATATGGGGCCCTGTCTTTTTTCCGATATTCATTGTGGTCAAGTAGTTGGATTTCCTCACTCGTAGTGGTCATCTGTTTAATGGCAACATCTGGTGCTTGATTTTCTTTTAGAAATCTGATAATATATGGTTTTATGCGAGATAAAGTAGACCCTCATATGAGAGGACTTGAAATTAAATCATATGATATCTTCTATATATAAAAAGTGTCTATGAAACGGACATTCTTGTTTTAACGAAAAATCTAACGGAATTTGTTGTTTTAACGGAGAAATTTTTGTTTTAACGGAAAATCTAACAGAATTGGTTGTTTTAACGGAAAATCTTTTTTCACCGTTAGTTTTATAGTTTCCATTAAGTAGCAATTAAGCCACCGTTTGTGGCAATTGATGTTGTGTCTGTTGGAATTCCATTATCTAATAATAAATGAATGGGAAATGCAAAATGCTTTGTACTACTACATTTTAGTCACTA